ATAATACTATAGCTATAGCATCTACACTAGATTTCTACTGTATCTGAGGCATGTTTCAATGTTCATCTTAAATTATATAGTAACTGGAATCCAGTATGACAGAGAGTGATACTTTTCCTGTAGCTATCTTTTAATCCATTTGTAGTAATAGCTCTTAGTAACAGTGGCATAGATATGTATGTTTGGTAGCTGTCAGCAAGTTTTGTCTGGGAATATCTGAAAACATTAAAATGGTTCAAGTAGGATTTAGATATTATGAAAAAATGCAAAGGGGAAAGGAGGGACTTCTCTGTTTAATTATAGATAAATTGCTGTTAAACTTTTAGATGAAACAGTTACATTTCTAAGGATATAACATTGATTTAAATAATATATACATTCAGAATGTTTTATTTTTAGACTGGTAAGCAACAAGTAAAGCATGTGGTAAACCCATATGTTCAGTACAAACAAATCTGAAACTGTGGATTTGTGATCCTACTGATTATTAAAATTTATTATCTGGGAAACAAAAATTGATTAAAATATCCTCTCTGGTGTTTGGAAAGGATAATTAATGTTACAATCAGGAAATATGATACTATTATAATTAAATGCAGTTGTCTTCCATTTTCATTATTAAATTGATGAACATTTAATAAAGAAGCCTGTTTTTAAATCAACAGTGACCTTGTAAACTCCACTGGATATAGTAATATATAGAGACAATATATTGGTCATGATTTTAAAAAATGTAGACTTGAAATGCATTGGGACTTCTGAGTAAATGTTTTGATTGCATTATTAGAAAAACCAAATATTTTATATAAGTCTTTTTGCTGCTGATAGTAGGAATGTTGAAGACCATCCGGAAGCTGCAACTGGTCCAGAATCCAGTGGCATGCGCAGTTTTGGGTGTCCCACGGTTCACCAAAGTAACACCACTGCTGCATGAGCTGCACTGGCTTCCAGTTACTTTCCGGGTGCAATTCAAGGTGCTGGTTATCACCTTTAAAGCCCTGCATGGCACAGGGCCAGGTTACTTGCAGGACTGCCTATCCCTGAGGGTATCTGCCCATCCTACTAGGTTAGATAGGGTGGGCATGCTCTAGGTATCCTCCCTTAAATGTTGGGACCTCCCTTAAATGTTGGGACAATCTGATAGGACCTTGGAGGCACACCTTCTCGGTGTCCACCCCAGCCCTTTGGAACAACCTCCCACCTGAGATCCAAGGGATCCCTACCCTTTTAGCCTTCTGGAGGGCTGTGAAGATCTGGCTCTTCTCCCAAGCACTGGACTAGGATGAGGGTTGAGCTGTGAGGATGATTGGTCTGGTGCCTGGGGGAAGGGTACTTTTGTTTTTAACTATGTTTTTTTATGGACTGTTGTGAGCTGCCTACAGTCATCATATGAGATAGGCAGCCATATAAGTCCTGTAAATAAATAACTAAATAAATAAATATCAGAACAGTATTTCTATACATTTCTTGTGTAAGTAGATTAGAAGTAATGTAAATCTAACATTTGAAACTTGTTTATAGCAGACCTTTTACATTTGGTTAATGCTATTAAAATCTGATGCAATGCTTTAACTTTCCATACAGATGCTTCATAAGTCTTTTTCATCTGCCTTATAAAAATGTACTATTTTAAAACAATTAATAATCTCTTTCAGTTTGAGAAATAATGGATACATTCAACAAAATACTAATCTAGCATAAGAATATCAACATCTGAAAAACACTGCCCTGCTTCCTCATACTTAGCATAAACAACAGATGAGGGAATATGGGAGGGGTTTTACAAGGAGGCAAGTGCATTATTGGCAGCACTTCAATGAAATCTTAACTGTAGTTCTACAAACAGATTAGATGTTCCTCATTTACTTTTCATTATTTTTCATTTTGGGAACTTAGCTTGCTGATAAGAGTATAGTACCTCAAAACCTTGGTACTATCCTCTCTACTGTTATGAATGGTGTGTGATTTCCATCAGCACAGAATAACTTCATGTGGCCCTTTAGGTCAGGTTACTGTAGAGGAGTATGGAGATAGCCTTGAAGGAAATATGCAGCAACCATTACACCAGCTTAGCCCTGAAAGGAAGGAGTAAGGAAGAAACTCAGGGTTGGCTCACCTTAATTCTCAGGTATAAGAGGGAGGGAAAGAGAAATGCTTTCAAGATTCTGTTATTACATCATGTAACAATAAAGTAGAATTTTTGATGAATAGGTTATAGAAAGAAGGGAATTATGATGTAATCTTAGAGAGAGAGAGGTTTGATTAGAATTGTATGTATAACTGCTGAGGGAAAGATTGGAAGCCCCCCCCCCCACATAATGTCTTCTGTTCTTTTATTTTCTTTTTCTTTTTTATATCTCCTTTTTTCTTTCTCTTTTTTCCTTCCCTTTTTTCCTTTTTCATATTTATTTCACTATATTTTTTTCTTTGAATGTACTTCTTATGTTTGTAAAATCTTTTAATAAAAACTATTTAAAAAAATAAAGTAGAATTATGTAGTTCTTGTATCTGTTTCCTGACCTGGCCTACCTCAAATGGTTAACAGCTACAACCAGTCATATTATGCTAAATTGTTATGTGTAAGTGTAGCCATGGTTTAGCAAACCAAAGATAAGCACAGTATAGCCTATTATGAATTAAAATTGCCCATTACTGATCTCCCCAACAAATCAGATTGCAATTGCATAAGACTTCAAAGTTCTTTAGATTATTTATATATTGGTGTACATGCAGAAAAGTTAGCTGAGAAAATATTGTCATATTGATTTAACATATAATATCACGTTATTGCAAATCAGCATTTGAGAGTATTTGCCTAATTCTGCCAGTCTTGGTTTTTAATTTTACCTATCACATTCAGCTCTTTGAACAACACAGTCATATGATTACAGTACATCATATTATTCCATTTTCTGCTTCTCACAATCCTATGAAATCTATTTTAAGCATTAATATTTAATATTTTCTTAAATGCTAAATGGTTTAGCATTTATTCTTAAAAATATGCACAAAAATTGCAGAACACAAGTTGGCATTATCCCCATGTTAAGGTAGATAATACATGTGGCTAGAATCATTGCTTAGAAGAGATTTCATTAAAAGTGTGCCCAATTTTCAGCTTATTCTTATGCCCATTAAAAATCAAAGAACTTTATGAAACCAGCCTTTCCCAATTTTGCTGCACTCCACATGTATGGACTTCAGCTTTCAGATTTTCCCAACTAGCATGGCCATTGCTAGAATTTTGGAACTTGAAGTGCATAAATCTGGAGGGTGTTCAGTTTTGAAAACACTGTGATAAGCCTGGGTAATAGCAGTGAACTTCATTTTGATTGCTGATTACCTATTTTAACAGAAAAATAAGTATTTAAATATATGTTTCTTAAGAAAAGTATAGAAATGTCTTTATGCAGTTTTAACAGATGAGAGCCAGTTTGGTATAATAGTTAAGATACTGGGCTAGATACTGGGAGACTGTGAGTTCTAATCCCGCCTTAGGGACAAATCTATCTGGGTGACCTTGGGCCAGTCACATTCTCTCAGCCCTAGGAAGAAGGCAATGGCAAACCAAATCTTGCCAAGAAAACTGCAAGGACTTCTCCAGGCAGACACCAGGAGTCAACACTGACTCAAAGGCACACACACAGACACATAAATAAAATTAACTGAAATCTATTAACACAGATATAAAAGCAAAATAGGAAGTTACAGAAGAGACTATCCTGATCTGTGATTCAAGATGCAACAAACATTATGATAGTAAAAGGAAATATGAGGACTTTTTTTTCTCACTGTTGAATGAGTAGTTATAAATGGACCAAGCTCCTTTTTGACCTTTATATAAAGCATTGATATTGTTTGTATGATAACAGAATATTGACTACTTCATTTGTGAATATCTGTGTATCTTTCAGCTAGGGTAGCTGAGTTGGAAGATAGGCCAGCATAGTACATCCTACATCTTGTTTACTTTCTTGTGATCCTCATTTTAGGAAATTAATATTTGTAGTGAACTATTGTTATTATATTACCTATGTGCTTAACCAATGTGCAAAGAAACTTTACCATATGATTTATATTTAGCTTTTGGTGACTGATAAAATACTAAGAATGTGATGAATTGAAAGCAGAGATTTGGCTTTTACATATAGGATTTTACCATAGTAGCATACTTGAAGGTTAGTGTTAATAAGATATATACATATTACTTCATTAGTTAAAATTAATAATGTCAGAACATCAGTGTATCTGGGAGGACAGGAGTGTGGCTTTTCTTTTTGTATTATAAATAATCTCATACTGCTACATTTCCCCTTTGTAATACCCACTTTTTTCCTCTAAAAATCATAAACACAAGTTGATAGTAGGTACTGTATAATAAAGTCTCCTTCAATTGATTGCAACTCTTGTGAATACGTGTGCATGTAGTTTTCTTGACAGCAGTGCAAAAGTGATTTGTCATTGCCTACTTCTGGGATTATTACTTTTGTTTTACCTCCCAGTTTAATTTACAGCCCTGCTATTTAATGGTGCTTTTCCACCAAAGTACTAGCCATGTCTGATGCAATTTACCTTCTTTGAGATTAGACAAGTTCAGCTAGGTGCTGGTAAAAAAAAAATTGTGGAATCTCCTAATTTAGCAAATCATTTGAGGGAAACCCAAAGGCTTTCCATTGATGGCAATTCTGCTTTAGAAGAATCTGAAACATTTGGGCAGGGAAGACTGAATAAAAGAAGCAGAAGGGTTCCCCTCACATGGAATTGGATTTCACCATTCATACTGGAGCTATCACTAAATTTCCCTTGGATTTAAGTCATTTAATGTATACAGATTTATTTTTCCCCACAATCTTTAAAGCATCTTTTTAATCATAATGAACACTTGTCTTACACATTAATTTAGGTATGTTGTTTAGCAACAGATTCACTGATGTAATAGTTAGCCTTCTTGCTTTATTATTAAATTAAGTCCACAAATACTTTTTAAAATATTCTTTTAGCTCGAGATGCTGATGAAAGAGAGAAATGGATTCATGCTTTAGAGGAAACCATCCTTCGGCATACTCTTCAGCTCCAGGTAAGTTCATTTGCATCTGCTTAAAATTATGAAATTGTTAAGAGTATTTGGTCAAATGAGCTCATAAAAATTGATGAATACATTCCAGATTATATTGAGAACCGAATACAGCTTTCTGTTGCAAATATACCAGTATTAATTATAAAATCAAGGCATTCAAAATGTTTCAAACAGAAAGCATTCCAGCTGAATTAATAAGTTTTGAAATGGCACTGTATTACCAATATGCAGATGAGAAACTGTTCTATTAAGATCTGAAGAATTAGGGACATTGAAAGGTATTTTCAAATATGTCTTATTTAATCTCTTTTCAGCAACAGGTTTGTGATTATAATTTATATTTTTTTGTTGAAATAATTGTTTTATATATTCATCATCTGCATGTCAGGTTTGGAGACATATAGAGCAAATTCTCTACACTCGAGTAGGGAACAGCTATATAAATACATTGACAGAATATTAATACTATTGTAAGTTTGCTGTTTTGTGAGCTCTCTTTTAAAAAAAATTCAAAACAAAAACCTGAAAGCAAAATATTTCTTCTTCACTGCAGCTATCTTTGTTGCTTGGAAACCTGCAGATGGAACTAAATGGACCTTAGGCAAAATTTTAAACTAGGTTTTAAGGAAAAAGCACGAGTTGCCTGTTTTTAGTAAAAAGAGCACTATATCATTATAATTACAAAGTGTGTCTTACTCTTAGGTTTCTTCCTCACATAAACCTCTGCAGGCAAAGGTTTTGCCAAAATCAGTTAACTGCCTTCTTAAATCTTGGATTGTGTTTACAGCAGTCCAGCAAAAAAACAAAAGCAAAAAACAAAACCCAGCACTGAAATACTGTACAACAAAACATGACTGACTGAGGTTGGGAACTTTCTTCTAATCTTTATAATTTGAAATCGGTGAGATCTGCTGCATGACATCTGTATTTGAACCCCTGAAGTACACTTTCATATTACAAAGTGGTGTCTTCTTTTTAAGATTTGTTCTAAACTGTAATACCTCACTTTCACTTTGGGCTTGGTGTGACTGAGTAAAAGAAGTGTATGGGTGTTCTACTGTATTTTAATGGCATTCACAATAATTTTCAAAGATAAACCTTTGTAAAAGCAACCATAGATTTACATCGACAATTGCAGCCTGCTATGACGTTTTACTTGAAAGTCTGTCCAATTCAGACTATTCGATTTCTCCCTACCTTTTGCCAACCCTGTTGTTGTCAGTCGCAGAGATCCTATTAATTCTCGCCACTGCAGGTCCTCCTGACCCATAGGGCGATTTTTCGGCGGTGGCATAGGAGACTCCAGCTAAGAGTCTAAGAATGGGAAAGCTCTGGAGCGGAATAAAGCAGGCTCTGCTGAATTCTGTCAAATGAATATTAGGCAGCTATGACATTGTAAAAATGTTTAAATCTGTTTCGTAGTAGTGGATTCTGTATCCAATTCAATACGCATGCTAAACTGAAACTTGCAGAGAAGGGCGGGGAATCGAACTCGGCGGATGATCACTGCGGTCTGAAAGTGGAAAAGTGACGTACGCTGTAGCCAATTGCAAGGAAGTTAGACGCATTTTAGAATTCAAGTGGGAATCTGAATGGATTTGTGGCATCGTCAGCGCCGCAGGATAAGTTCTACGCAGATAAATGAGTTGTGAATGGCAGAGCCAGTAGTGTATTTTACGTGGTAATTTTGCCTAATTGTTCACTGCCATCCGACTCCCTATACACAGCGACCGCACCAGCTTCGAAGGAAAGAAGGGAACACTTCGACGCGTTTCGACTATTTGTGTTCCTCTTCCGATTACTCCGCGGGAGGAAGGACGAGTCAGGCTAAAGGACACCTGACCCGTAGCCAATCGGGTCCCACTTGGCGTTAAGACAATAACTGAAGCGCGGGTCTGCGACGCAGCCACTCTACCGGGGGCGGCTGGGGGGAGGAGAGGAGGGAGATCTTGTAAGGCCTTGTCGAGAGGCGTGACCGGCTGTGGGAAGAATGGCTAGTGTGAGTAGGAATAGATGCTGGGGTAGTGTCGCGTCGTAACTGACAGGAAAGGAATGGAAACCCTCTATCTGCTGGCCTTCTCGAGGACGCCCGCCCAACGCTTGAGTTCGCTGATGTCCCTGATCTCTAATGTATTGGCTAATAGTGCAGTTTTGCGAATGTCCCGCCTTGCGTTTGGCGTCAGAGTTGGTGCGCGCTTGTAGAATAGGCGAGTAGGCAAGAGACCCGGTAGATCATCTCTACGCAGTTCCGAGCTTTAAACTAGTTCCGCTCAGTGTGAACCGTCGCTGAAATTGAATATTGGAAAGGAGGGCATCCTCAGTTTACTTTCAGACTGGGCTGTGGATGACTGGCTGGTTACTGTCATTGCTGCTTCTGCTATTTAAATGGGCCTTTTTACTGGGTTTAACATCTGGACCGTGAGACAGGCCATTATTACTGAAAGCCATAGATGCCAGGAGAATGGGCTTCAGATTCCTCATCACATTAGAGATACTTACCTATGATGTAGATCTTAAAACTGTCATATGACTTCCTTCTCTATAAATTTGCTATATAATAGATAGCAAAATATTGATTGCTTTCAGGTTGCTAATCAACAAGTAAGTAGACTTTCCTTGATGAACACATGCTTAGACCAGCCTATTAAGGGTGAATTCAGTTATCTGAGTTCTTTATATAGCCAAAGTTCTATAAAGTAAGGAATTGGAAGGAGAATAGAATCAGTTTTGCCAAAAGAGGTATGTCTCTCTGAAACATCAAATGGGGATCTCAACAGTGGAAATGACAGTTGCACAGGAATGTCATATGACAGTGTATTTCTGGGGGAATTGGAAACATGCTTACAGGGAACAAACAAGCAGTATAGCAACCATGCTGGCATGTAATCTTATATAAAAACTGCAGTCACTACATAATTAATTGGATTATATATCACAACAATCCATATTGTGGACTACATAGTATTTTTTTTTTATTTTTTATACAGAAATTTGTGTACTGTTTACTTCAAAAGATTCCTATTTCATGGGAGAAAGCAACTTTTTAATTATGTGGGGATCATACACAACCTTTGACAATTCCATGCACTTTTAATATTTAACTGGTCCAGTTGGTCACTGATCTTAATTGAAGATTTGGTCAGCTTACAAAGCCAGCTGGGTGACCTTGGGCCAGTCTCTCTCAGCCCTAGGAAGCAGGCAATGGCAAACCACTTCTGAAAAACCTTGCCAGGGGACTAGTTCAAGCAGTTGCCAGGAGTCAACACTGACTTGAAAGCACCAAAGAAAAAAAAAGCAATATTAAAATTGTGTTTGAAAACTTTTAAAACACAAATTCTAGAAAGATCTGAGAAATAGGTTGATTTTAAACCCCCTGCTCATTAGTAATAAAGATAAAGTACTAAAATCATAGGATCACTTAAAAACTCTAAACTTGTAGATTATTGCTAATGTTCCCTTTTTAAAAGCTTTCATCATAATTTTGCTAAACATAAGGATTTTTAAATCCTATTAATTTTTAGAAGAGAAAAGTACTGCTGAAATTAATTGAATGTCTGTAAATGTCTAAATATGCTGTTGGAAAAAAAGTTCATTAAAATAATAACTCTGACATTGGCTAGGGTTGCACATTGTGCCATGTCATAATGAGTTTTGTTTTGTTTTTGTTTACAGTGTGTGGATCCAGTCATTGTATTTTGTAAACCAAGGGTTATGGCTTAGTGTGGTGTGTGAACCAGGTCACTGGGTATTTATTAGCTATGCCAATTCAGTATCATCTTATTTGTCTGTGGTAGTTGTTTCACATTGTCTGTAAAGAGCAACAAAATTGCAGAAGGAGGGGATGAATGAGCAGAATCATAGGATAGAACTCTTTTTTTCTGGTTGTTTCTGTTCTTTCAAGAACACATTATAGTACCATTATTCTAAAGTACAGTGGTACCTCGGGTCACGAACACTTCTGTTCACGACCAATTCGGGTCACGAACAGTACCGTTCGCAAAATTTTGCTTCCATCCGCGAACTCTGCATCGGCTGACGAACAGGATCCGCGGCCATTTTCCCTGCCATGACACGTGGTCGTGGCTTCCTGTAGGGAGGGGGCCCCTCCCTCCAAAAAAAAACCGCCTCCCCACCCGCCTTCCTGTC